ATATATATATATATATATATATAGCTCAAAACTTAGATTATGCTATTGCACGTTATTTACTTTCAGATAGAAAACATTTTAACGGAACCCGGAAGATACCATCATCTACAATACACGACAAGAAACCTGAAAACTAACATCATAACGACGAGACAAAATATAACAAATATTAGCCAGAATTACATGTGTCGTAACGATTTTAACAATTAACACTCATATGGATTCATATTTGGATAATTGAATAACGAGTGACGTACTTATGAATGCTGCCTGATGATGATCCAAATATGGATCGAAACATGTAGCAGTCACTAAATAAAACCCATGTAACACAGTGATATTAGATTTATTTAATTTTTGATAAATTTTTGTGCTGACGGCCAAAATGCGAAATCGTGACACACAACAGGATGCAAACAATAAAGGCTGAAGAGTTGTTGCACTTCGTAGTCTGGTGTAAGTTTCGCGATGTTTCAAAGGAGTACCGCAACCAGTACATTCCAGGCAAGCGGTTAGTCGCTGGCTTCCCACCGCGGCGGCCCGGGTTCGATCCCGGGTCTGGTCAAGTGGGATTTGTGATGGACAAAGTGGCGCTGGGGCAGGTTTACTCCGAGTACTTCGGTTTCCCCTGCCAATCTTCATTCCACCATTTGCTCCACAATCACCCTCACCTATCATCTGGGGCTGATACAATAGGCCAGATGTGGCCGCAGTACAAGGGTCTTTGTCCCACCCTACTAGCAATAAAAAAAATAGTACATTCCTCCAATAGTCAGTAAACGTTTACCAGACTACACGGTATAACATCCCAGAAGACAGCATTATTCATATTCCCCACATTCCCCAATTTGTTTTTAATTAAGGGCCAGACGAAGTGTAGTCTCTGGTCCTCCAGGTTGGGGGTTGAGCGTGGGGCTAACAAGTCCGCCCCGGAATAATCTACTCTTACGAAACCTCCAGAGCCTATGGAGGAGGCCAGGACCCGCTAGTAAAGAGAGGATGAGAACCTCATAAAAAAAACTCCCGTGATTTTAGTCCGCAAGCGAACTATACCGACCGAGCGACCGCCGCTTGTCGGCGAAGTTAGTGCCAACTTTTGCGGATAGAGGGTGTGTATGTCATACTTGACAAAACTTTTCCTACAGCCATCATGTTAGTATACTTACTTGGCTGCTGTTCTCGCTTACGACAGCTGTTCCCCATGCTGGCTGCTCAGCTGGAAGTCTGGTGCTTATAATTACGTACCACTAGATGTTGATATCACGAGCCATGGCCACCCTGGCAGAGTAATGCATGGGTGCACACCAACTGAAACAAAAAGTGTTGCACTACTACAATTTGCATTGTATGCAGCAACACTGGATCTATAAAAAGAATCCTGAAACTGATTTAATGAATAATTTTACTTTTATTTAATAAGAAAATAATAAATCTGCATGGACGCCATGTTGGTACAACTGATGGCAGGAAATGACCAGTTACGAAGGTAAAGCAGTCTATAACGATAAAATATCCCTATTAAGTTTCATATAAAGTATAAAGTGTTTCGAATGTTATTTATAGGAATACGGGGGCAGACACAGGGCACGTGGATTCATAAACACGATACCATAAGTCTATATTTCCTTATAAAATAATGAAAGCAGATAAAAATGAAAATGCTCTTTGCAATACTTGGATCTTCTGCTTGTTCATTCTTCCATTCCCACAACCACTTCATTCACAGTAAAGACAAAACATCTGTCGGCGGTTTCATGTCCAAATTATGTAAACCAGCTGAATAATGGCAATGAATTATATATACGTGGACATGATTGTTCAGACTGGGTGTCAGTGACCATCTCCCTTGCAACCTGCCTATACAGCTGAGCCAATTCCTCAACCTACACATTTCAAGTTCGAATATGGAGGCACCATATTCCTCCACCAGCGAGACTACATGATGTCACGCCGCAGAAGACTACAACTTGAATGAATGTAATACGTCATCGTTGTCCATAATATTTTATCCTAAAAAATCAAATGGTATAAGGTTAAGGTATAGCTATCTCTGCTACAGGCCGTATAGGCCCACAGGGTTATGAGACGTCGAGGCTCTCACATTTTCTAGACAATCGGCCCACAGAAGGCGATGAGGTTGTCAGCCTTATGCGTCGGCGGCCCTATAACCCCAGGAAGATTCCTGGTAGTCATTTCTGTTATAGGCTGAGTCGACCCCAGGACAATAGTACGGCTGGATGGATTAGGTTACTTTAAAAAATCCAATAAGCTCCTCAGGCATGAACCCGCGTCCTTCCGGCTTCTAGCATACAGCCTCAACCCATTACGCTACCGCGTGCCCCCCAAAATCAAATGTAATACAGAATCTCGAGAGTCCACGTTTAAGATGGAATTGCATGCTGGAAGAACGTATGCAAAAAGAGGGCCTAAAATGGGTACGTTACCATTCAAGTGTGAAAATCCACCATTTCAGAGAACACCTACATATTCCACACATTAATTGAACGATTAATAACGAAATAACTGCATGAATACATAAAATACCTAGACATTCTATGAAATACAAATAAAGCAGTTACACGCTTCAGTGATAATATATACAGTGGGCCCTTGGTTTACAACGGTTTGATATAAGCGGATTTGAATATCCGCCGGTTCGAAAGTTTTCTAGCAACTTCTTTGTCCCCCCCCCCCCCCCCAAATTTCTGGAAAATTCTATACCGTGCTGTCGCTTCCAGCAAAGGTCCCAGCACAGCGCTACTGGGCATCTCCTCATGGCAACACTGCATTTGGGCATACACTGTATATGCCCAGTCTGTACAGTACAATGTACGTCATCGCGGCTTATCGTATACGAGTAGATTAATATTGTGACAAGTAATATGTTTTTGGACAGTATCCATCGTCTTGTCTATTTTTAAAAAACTGTCCTGTTTCTTTTGAAAACACGGCGTTTCGGAGATTGGATTCTGTCTCCGTCCTCAGGTAAAACCTACTCAGTTGGGTCCAACAGACAGAGCTAGCCCCTATCGGAGATAGTCTCCGAACCGTTGTGTTTTAAAAAGAAACAGGACAGTTTTTTTTAAATAGACAATACGGTGGATACTGTCCAGAAATTTATTACTTATAGCAATTTACCTTCGTCACAAACTTTTAGAGTTTATTAATACTATGCCTTTGATTTTTTTATAAATTCGTATTTTCAAAAAAAATAAAAGTGGAACCACGTCTAGCCGTATGATTGACAGCTTAACTGCCAGTGGAAATGTGGTTAAAGACCACAAAGATCTACAACATTCGAAAAAGAACTATAGAAGCTATTAGAAGAATGGAGGCTGGGCAATCACATCTTGCTGTTCGTAGGGATCTAAATATGGCTCCCTCCACTGCAACAACAATCAAGAACAAATGCTGATAAAAGTAAAAAGAAGATGGGAACTGCAAGAAAGAAAACTAGTACTTAGATACTCACGTGGTCCTGTGATTGGAAAAATGGAATAGTTACTCTCATTGTGGGTTGATGAGTCAAATGAAAGTACAAGTAGCAAACAGTTTGTTCGTTGGCATGTAAGAAAATGTAGGGGGTGAGGACACTTTCACGGCAAGCAAAAACTGGTTCGCTGATTTCATATAGCAAACTCAATTTTACAATTCAAGATGAACAGGTCAGGCTGTCAGTGCCGACGAACAGGCACTTCGAGCGACTCGTGAAGGAAGGTGAATATGCATCTGATATTGTTTTCAATGTGGACGAGACAGGCCTTTACTGGAAGACCATGAGTTCAAGAGCTTTTATCCGCCATGAAGAGAAACATGCTCCTAGATACTATAAACCTGTCACGGACCACTTAAATCATCATTTTGGTGTAAATGGTTCAGGGATTGTACAACAGAAGCCATTGCTCGCCTGTAACTATGAAACACCGAACGAGATGGAGGGCGTTATTAAAGTAAATTTGCCAGTCATCTGAACTTCAAACAGAAGAGCTTGAGTGGCACAACTGGTATACAGATTATCTTTGTTCAAGAGTACATAGCTACTGTGGTGAAAATAATTATCCAAGGAGGGCTCTGCTGCTGCTGTTGATGATGGACAATGCTCCAGGAAATCCACGAAACACTGGAAAGATAAGGACGACCGTGGATGTAAACGCTGAATTAATACAAAGCAGGGCTTATATCTGACCAGTATAAACCATATTAAAGATTCGTGACAGTTCTTAGTGTAGATCATCAGTACAAAATGTAGCCAAAATTCAATTGCTTAACGGCCTCTAATGCGAATCTGCTGCACATACACAAGACCTGTGTTATCAAAAGAAATACTTATACATTGATCAGGTTTTGTCCACCAGGAGATGACTAACGCTTCTGACTATATCCACAACAATTTGTGATAAGTAGTGAATCACCAGATCATGAGCTGGCTCTTAATACAATCAGAAAGCTATTGCCATTCCTATGGAAGGTGGTGGGGGCACGCAGTAGCGTAGTTGTTTGAGGGGCTATGCTACAAGCCGGAAGGTGACGGGGTTCAAGTCCCGATGAGGTCATTGGATTTTTTTCAATTGACCTAATCCTCCTAACTGCACTATGGCCCTGGGGTCGACTTAGCCTCTAACAGAAATGAGTACAAGGAATTAATTAAATAATTTTCCTGGGTAGTAAAGCGCGGCCGGCGCGTAAGGCTGACAACCTTACCGCCATCTTTGAGCCGATTGTCTAGATAATGTGGGACCCTCAACGTCTCACAACCCTATGGGCCTTCACGGCCGGGATAGCTTTACTTACTTCATGGAAGGTGGTAGCACAGTCAGAACACCAAGTGACAGAATTCAGACTAAAAATTTCAACAGGGTCAACAAAGTTGACTTAAGGTCATGCTTCTAGCCTCAAATAAGAGCCAAGTACTAACACAGAATATTTAATAGTTTGCGAAGATGTTCAAAACAATATACCACACCATCTACAAATTAGCATTATATATGTCAGCCTATCACTAACGAACTCCACCCACTTAACTGCTGGTATGAGTTCTTCTATGCACAAGAAAGCCTGTACCTAATTCTTGATTCTCATTCCACCTTACACTGACAAATGTATAATCGCCTGCTGGTTCTTCCCCACCCGTTTCATCTCTCATTCTATGTGAGATTCGTTGAAAGTAACTGAGAAATAGTATGGAACACATGGAATATGCATGACCAACAGTACTGTAGCAGACTCGAACCCAGTCCTTTAGATTGCAGAGGTTGGTTCCGGAATGTTTGTCAGACAGAAAGATCTGGGACATCGACCTACACAACTTGGGTTATGGGGCAGGCAGACCGACAGACATATGCTTCCTCAATAAGAAACATCAAGTAACCTCGCATCCCCCACCCCACCCAACCTTTTTTACTAGCTCCGTCCTCTGTACCAGGGCGGCGATCAATATTGTCGGCAACAATCTCCCTCCCATACGTCTGTCATACTCTGCTCCCAATTATACCAAGTTTCTCTTTATTACCGGGCAAACCCCACCTCAGAAGTCGCCCTTTATTTGTTTATGGAAACCTCATGATCAGCAGCGAGAGTCCGCAGCGACAACACGGCGATACCCATATTCGATCTATGGGCTACAAAATGGAGAATTCTATGCAGTGCAGATAGTCATGTTCTTCCACTGTATGATTTCGATGACAATAGCTGAAAATACTGTATAGATTTAAAAAGAAAGTCCATCAACGTATTTCAACAATCAAACCTGAGGAAAACCTCTACCAGTTCTACCTTTTGGTACTGAAATAGCCAAAGACGAATCTAGAATTGGAGCTATCTATATCTATCTATTCCTGTTGCTCCCTCCTGGAGCATAGGGCATCCGTGAAACATTTGTTTCACTTCAATTTCTTCATCTTAGACAGTCGGTAGAATTCCTTGGACGGGGGATCAAGCACTCGCAAGGCCCCTACCTACACACAAACACAGAATAAACGCAGACGAACATCTATGCCTTGTTGGGAATCGAACCCGCGATCCCAGTGTTCGAGTGGGCGAAGACATTTCATGCCTTAGTCCGCGCGGCCACTGCGATCGGCAGAAATGGAGCCGCTGAGATAGAATTCGTGGAACGAACCGAAATCCGTGTATGAAAGGAGCCACAATATTTTGGAAAAGATATGCCACATTCCTTAGAGACAGACTCCCCAAATTAGCGACGACGTTCATACTGACTGAATAAGACGCCGAAGACTTCCGCTGAAGAGGCAGGGATGAGTCAACGAACAGCACAACTGCTTTAAGAGTAATTCGGTTAAATTCGTTTA